TTTGAGCAATAATATGACGTCACTGATAAACGATCATGTAAAGATGGAAATGATTTTTCTTGTCAAATTAATCACAAGAGTATCTTAACGTTTTGTACACCACATGTGCACTGTTTTGACGTGTCATGTCAAGAGTATGGTATGTAAAATAGTTTCTCAACTGAAAGTTCACCGAACATAGTGGAAAACAATATGTGATGTGATATATTTTCCGTATTACACGCGTTTTTGTGTTTCCCCATACCAGGCGATGTGGGGCACGTGCGAGAAGACGGCTGTTTCGTGATAACAGACAGACTGAAGGAGCTAATCAAGTACAAAGGATTTCAGGTTTGTTAATTTGCTAAGTATTGTAGTGGTTGACAACAGTTGAGTTGTCATTGCGCATGTTTCTGATCGAGTCACACAATCAGCGACGTCGCAATCGAGATGTGACTTCATATCTTTTACAAGAAATGTGACGTAACAAATAAAGTGTCAACCATAATTCGCGTTCAATTGCTAGGAGCAAATAAAGACAAAGTGTTCCAGAAGGGTAAGTTTAATCGACTACATCCGTCCTGCTTTATCTTTGCTAATTGCCTGGCATAGGCTTCTACAGTATTCATCAGTATCTTGAAATTTGCACGAACAGTGGCATATTTTCACAAAAGTTATACATTTATTTACACCGCTTTATTTACACCGCTTTATTCACACAAAGCTGTATTACTACAAGCTATATTTTACCCAGTTACACGAACGACACATGGATTTATTGGTTCAAAACGAGGGGTTTTCTGACATTTCACAGGTTGCCCCAGCAGAGCTCGAGGATTTGTTGCTGCGACACCCCGGGGTACAGGACGCCGCCGTGATAGGGATGCCAGACGAGAGGGCAGGGGAAATCCCCCGGGCTTACATAGTACCTAATCCAAACAAAAAGGTCACACGCGACGAGATATCCAAATTTGTTGAAGGCAGGTTTAGTATTATGCTTTTGGATGATATATCCTCATTCTTAATGGATGCTGGTACTATGAACACCAAACCGCTTACACTAAAAATAAATATCAATATGTACTTCTTGTGACGTAACTATGTGAAACTATGCCAAATGCACCAAATCCGTTTTACATTTTTTCATTATATTTCAATAATGTTCCTTTATTCATATTATACACATAGGTATATCCAAAGTTAACTGTAAACGTTTTTTCAAGATGGAACATTAGATTCATTTTAATCTTTCAATATAGATAGATCTTTAACAATGTGTATACTTATTATTCAAATGTGATATAAACATTGCAATCTAAATTTTGCTTGACAGAAAACGCTGCTCCGCACAAGCAACTGAGAGGAGGTGTCGAATTCCTAGATGAAATTCCAAAATCATCATCTGGAAAGATTTTGAGACGTATACTTCGGAACATGTCCTAAAGAACTCGTGAGAACAAAGGATTAACACAGAAAAAAAACACTAAAAGAATTTTACAAATTTGATATTGATACACGTAAAGGATTTATGTTTAATCGCTATTTTCCATGAGACAAAACCATAAATACATGGATCATCGAAGATGAGACCGAATTCTCCGGGAAGATAAACGTTTTCTCACTACAGTTGACACTCGGCATGGTGTTTTCTATCTAATCCAATGCATGTTTTGGTCACCATCGATTCAGATCGCACAGTTTCCATAAATGAGAAATAACCAGAAAAAAGAAGAAGAATTCAACAAATTTGCTCGCTATCGCAGTCAATACTAACCCTTCTCGTTCAGTATTGAAGTGAATGGTTGACCTGGTCTGAGTTTTGAAACCGAGGTGTTTGAATTGTGCATAATGATGTAATGTTCCATTTTAATAAGAATAAACTTAACTTTAGTAAGGATAGGAGTGTTTGAAACTTGAGAGACTATGAAATTAATAAGTGCGAAAGGCAATTTTCCGTAAAAAATGCAAGACTTGTGTAACGTTGTCCTTACTATTTCTTAGTCATTTGTGATCGTTAGAGTATGGGAAGGTAAGAGATTCGTTTGTAGTTTTGTTCACCTATTAATCCACTTCGAATGACTGAACGGATATAATTCAGAGTCATATTGGAGATCAAACTGGAAATATTGATGTCGCCGATTCACCAAAGGATATATGAGCAAGTGTATCATCTCTGGATAGAAGTATACAACATCTGAAATAGTTATCTTCAGCTGTTACCTACTTGAACTACAAGAACTTTATCTTGGAACCATGACAGTTGAGCGAAGGAGGGATAACCTTTGGATTCATGTCGTACTTTTCGTCGGCGCTGTCTTTATTGATTGAAGAAGTGATTATCAGACCATGTTAGGATATTTGGAATAACGCTAAACCTCCCACATACATAAGTAAAGGGATTATATAGATAGTTATGCTTTAAGAGCTATATTGAAGAGTATTGCACACAAAAACTGTGAGTGAAAAACAGTTTGTTTTTATTCATGTACATGTCTTGGAGGTTAGGTGTGCATACTAGATTTTGTGCAAAGAAGCGTGACAGTACTTCCGGTACCATATTACTCACAATCTTGAAATATCGGACAAGTTTTAAGTTGTGTGCATTTTCTGACGTGCAAGTGAAACTTTAATATTGTTTTAAGTAACGTTTATTTGTGGGGCAAACGGACGAGTGATTTGCAACTGTTGAATTTCTTTGATATTCTTCAGACTTTATTGTTTTGATTTTCTGGCCTAGGACGGGCATTGATTGGTAAGATTGCGTCACGTGATAACTTGCAAGTTGATAAAGCCGACTTCTTAAGACTCTTAAAAGATGGCGTGGTATTACATGGATATATACGTATGTAGTGTATATTTGTCACTAGTAAAAGAAGTGATACGGACATGAAAAAGTGATATTGACAGAGGCGAAGTCGACGTTAGTATAAATGTTTCGGGGTTCATATCACATAACCAATTACCACCACTATTTCTTTTATTCCACTAATCAAACTTTTTTTTATTTTCTAAAAATAGAAATATCTAGATTGGATACCAGGTTATTCTGCCATGTTTTGTTGTAAGCTCCCTATCGTACAATATTTATTACTTTATCAAACAACTGTTCATAAGCGGTCACGTGTATGGGATGTCAACTGGATTGCGGGAAAGTTTCCAAATCGTTGATTATATTACAAGTAATGACTTTATCAATCATTGGCCAGATACTTATTTCTACCGTTATGACTATCTCTCCGTTAGTTGTTTCTATGTTAAGGTGGTATATCTAACCAGACCGATTGGCGTACTCAAAATAAATGTGTCATAATAAGTTAACCGTGAGTAAATCTCTCGCAAATCTTGCGAGTTTCAGACAGAGAGAGAGAGAGAGAGAGAGAGAGAGAGAGAGAGAGAGAGAGAGAGAGAGGGAGAGAGAAAGAGAGATGAAATCTACGTGTTGGTTCGTAATTATGAATACTTTCTTTTTTGATTAATTCATGAACTTAGAGCGATTCTTGATGTTATTATTGACAAGTCACTATTACATTCATAGTAATAAATTCATGAACTTAGAGCGACTCTTGATGTTATTATTGACAAGTCACTATTACATTCATAGTATTCCGTATTAATCGGGATGACGTCATAAGATGGCGATTGTCTCGGAGAAAATTTGACAGTCCTCCAAGAAATACTGCTATATATACAGTACATTTAAAACAGTTTCTTTTGTTGACATATTCACAACCTGGTACCCAACAATGTAGTACATGTATGCAAGCCCATTATCATATGTTGATCACAAACCAAATATACCATATAGATGGAGAATAGTCTGGCATTACTCTCTAGTTGTCACTGTGTTTGTTTCATACCCAGTACTCTGTGTTGACAGAACGTCACACCTAGTATCCAGGGTTGACTCATCTTCATCTTCAAACCTTCCTCCGTCAATATTGACGATTGCGGAATTCTGGTCTTGCGCTGTAGTGTGTTGTTATGTTCTGCGTACTTAGTATATTACACATATAAGTTGACATTTCTGTCTCCAGTACTTGAAGATTCCTGCTTCTATCCAAGGCTGACGGATATCTCAACATTTCCTAGTATCTGTTGATACTAGTTATGTTGATACATATACTGATGTCCACAATAGATGTTGACAGATGTTAGAACCATATGGCGACTTAATAACATGTACTACCAAGTAAACCCAAAATGATTGTGCATTAGTTTATATGATGTTATATCCTTAAAATATATCTGAAATTTTATAATTTCAATTTTTACCGCAGATTATTTTCCGACAGATTATGGCGCGGTTACTAAAGTTTTTCATACAAACAGTAATATCACCATAATTTCTTTTTTATGTAATCATATCTGGGCAGGGTCATGGGTAAACTATCGGCAATCATGTAACTCTGTTTGTAAGAGGGACCAAATCAATTCCTTTTTTTTTATATATATATATTTGCTTTGGTATTTTCATGAACGGGTGACAAAAGTGGTTAATAATATGCTTACCTTTTTTCTTGTTTTTAATGCATCAGCTTGTCTTATTTTGATATATCCTCAGCTCCTGTCATTTTAAATCGAATTTGGCTCTGACTTTGTTCTGATGTAATGGCACTATAGTCTATTTGGTCATTTTGTTGACGATGTGGAACATTTTGTCTGTATTCAGGCTGTGTGATATTTTCCCGTTTTGGTTGACACCGTAGAATATTGTTTCATTGTTTTTTGACACTGTGTTGTATTTCGATATGTGTTGTTGCTGTGGTATATTTGTATAAACAGATATCAAGAATGATGGATTGTGAACGACTGTTTCATCAAAGTAGACGCTGAAATCTCTAGAAAAGTATTTAATGAAAAAAACCTTCAAACTTTCTCAGCGTATATTAACGAAAAATGTATATCACATTTAATAAAAAGAATGTTTTTTTTTCTTGTATCACAATATTTACATATTTTTGATATTAAGTATCATATGCAGATAAACATATTGAAATTAAAACAAAATATTTATGCTGGGCGGAAAATATATGACATTTTTTGGCTTTATTTTGTTAATGTAAAAAAAGTTTAGCACATATTCCGAAGAATACGTCTCAGAATTTTTCCTGATGGCGATTTTGGAATTTCATCTAGGAATTCTACTCCTCCTCTCAGTTGCTTGTGCGAAGCAGCGTTTTCTGTCAAGTAAAAAATGTAAGAAAGCATTACACAAGCTTATATTGAGTTACTTAAAACAATAAGATTGAGAGCAATTTAAGATCGCAATGGTTATATAAAATTTGAATAATCTACACATTGTTAAAGATCTATCTATAGCAAAAGTATACATTTACCTTTGGATATACATTGTACATATGTATATGATATAAATAAAACATATACTGTAAAAATAAAAATAAAGATATGTAAAATGGATTTGTTTGCAATTGGCATGATTTCACATAGTTGTATCTCAAGTTATATTTATTGATATGTCATTATTAGTTTTAACAATTAAGTGTTCAGAGTACCAGTATCCATTTGAAATGCTGAACTTACCTTCAACAAATTTGGATATCTCCTCGCTCGTGACCTTTTTGTTTGGATTAGGTACTATGTAAGCCCGGGGGATTTCCCCTGCCCTCTCGTCTGGCATCCCTATAACGGCTGCGTCCTGTACACCGGGGTGTCTCAGCAACAAATCCTCGAGCTCTGCTGGAGCAACCTGCGTCATGTCAGAAAGCAATCTCGTCATGAACCAATAAATCCACGAAATTTGACTTTCACGCGTCTTTCGTGTAACTGTGTAAATATGACTTGGTGTAATATAGCTTTTTGTTTATAAGTAATTAAAACATTTGTGAAAATATGCCTATGTAAATTTTATACTGATGAATACTATGAAAGACTACGCTTCTGGATCACCTGATTTTATTCTCTTTGCACTTTTTCTTATGCCTCCATGTATTTTTTTCTTTGCTTATATTTTGCCCTAGTTTTATCGATTTTTAGTCCAAATTATGGTTTTGTTGACAACTCCGTATTTTTACCTGCATGTTTTCCATATAAGTAATATTTTACACATATGAGATGTAAAGCTTTTTACCAGTTTCGCCTTAAGAAACTGTTATTTACAGGTAGTTCCTGTACAATTTCCTTTTTTTGTTCTAGAGTCAAAAGTTACATCACATTTGTTGCAAAAGATATGAAGACATAATCAACTCGATTGCGACGTCGCTAATTTCCAAAAGAGTTGAACATTTTTTGCCATTTTGCCATTCATTCTTAAAAGTAGAATAAAACAGACATTTCATTCACGTGACCAGATCAGGAATATGCTAAATGACTATTCAACCGTTGACAACCACTACAATACTTCGCAAACTAACAAACCTGAAATCCTTTGTACTTGATTAGCTCCTTCAGTCTGTCTGTTATCACGAAGCAGCCATCATCTCGCACGTGCCCCACATCACCTGGTTTTGGGAAACACAAAAACTTGTCACTCGGAAAATATTTCACATCACATATTGTTTTAAACTGTGTAAGGTGTACTTTAGTTGAGAACCTAGTTAACGCGCCATACTCCTGCCACAAATTTCTCAAATTTGCCAGAAAACGTCAAGACCGTGCCACAAACGTGTTGACGGAAGCTTGTAGACACTTTTTGTGAATATTTGGACAAAACAAATTACTACCATTTACACATAATCGTTTAACGATATGGTCATATTACTGCTCCTAATGACGTCCTTATGACCTAACTGTATGTCAAATAAATTCGGAAATTATGTGTTGGCGTTATTACACTCCATACATTCTCAAGAATTCGAGAATATACATTTCAAATTTCACTATAAACTACAGCGTACCTGTGTAAAGCCAGCCGTCTTTGATCATGTCGTTTGTAGCCGCCTCATTGTTTAAATATCCTTTCATGACATGTGGTCCCCGAATACACAGCTCCCCCGTCTCACCAGGTCCAAGGTCAGCCCCAGTCTCTGAGCACACGATCTTTGGACAGGTCAGGAATAATACATACAGTACAATACTTTGAAATATTTGCAAATCTGGAAGGTTTGCAACAATGCAACAAGATATTCATGAAAGATTCTGAGATTGTCAATCATGACACTTGATGAAGGTGAATTACAATTTAAGGAAACTTTTTTGACTGATGATTTATGAATTTATTACCTAGGTCTGGAATTTGCTCATCTCGTCTAAGAGGAAGCAAAATTTTATTCTGCTCTTGCACTGTTAACAATTTCAGCCTTTGGAATTCATGAACATGTGAATTGCTATTGTTATTAGACCGGGTCAAACACTTCTCGCGTTTTAAATATAAAAAAATAAATGTCATATATGTTAAATAAATCCATTTCAACACGTTTATTTTACGTAAAAAAGCAATACACGGTCATGTAAACAATATTAATTGAGTCTTTTTTGCGGGAAAGATTATGCGTTTCCAATGGTTATAAAATACACAGTTGAGCAATAAAGAAAAAGTTCTATTTAAAAAAAAAAAAAAAAAAAAAAAAACGNACGCGAGATTGAATATTGGAAAATTATAAAGCGACCTTTATTATTATTTTTTCAATGTTTTATTTCCTCGTTATATAAATGTTATTTATACCTTTTCAAGAAATTATATCAAAGTGTCGGATATACGTACATTTAGTTGCATTTTAGGTAAGTTACCTTAGCGCTGGAGTTAGGTATCAATGGTCCCACCGTTCCTATGTGGTGTGGGGGCAGTGTGTCTAACGTAGCTACCGGACTCAGCTCTGTCATGCCGTAGCCTACAAGTAAAGTACCAAGATGTTATTGTTCAGGACAACAACAACATACGTGTAGGCTGGTATATGCTAAGTAATCGAGGAAACATACTTAAATTTATTTCATTAGCCAAGTACGCGTCTTTGTCCTTATGTACAAATTCTGTATAGGGTAGAACTCCATTTGCCCGTTTTCCAAATAATCATAAACAAAAAACGGTTCAAGAATGAACAATGGGCCATTACTCTGAAAAATCGTACATAATTCATTATTTTTTTGTTTCACAAATTGTGTCAACAAAAACAATAGTATTCTGTCTCTCAGCTAGTTAAACGTTGGTATGGGTACTGTGATAGTAAGAAATGACGTCAATACCTTGAACAACGGGATATCTCAGTCTGGCTTCATATTCCCTGCTTAATGATTCCCCTAAAGGAGCTGCTGCGCTCAGATGGGACCGGATGCTTGAAATGTCATACGTGTCCACGATTGGATGTCTGGCTAGAAACAGGGCCATAGGGGGAACCATGTACAGGACGGTCACCTACCAAATCAACCATAACATTTATTTATGTCTTTTACGTGCTTTAGGTACGGTGGTGTTGGTAGAGTTGTGCATCCGTCGATTCAGATGCAAATGAGATTGGATGTAAGCATTTAAGATGAATATCAAAACGATAGTTATACAATGATAAACACAAGTCTTTTTTACATTCCTTGATATCTTTGATTATTTGTCGAACGCGCGATATTCAATAACATTTCTGATATACAAGTCAACCAGATATTGCAACCGCCAATGCAGACGCAAGGTAACGTTTCTTTCAGTCGTTTTGTTGCTTGTTTCATTATTGTGAGAAACAATTACCTCAATTACCAACTTGACTAGACAATATCGTAAATAAGTAGTTATTATTACTTAGTTTTATATGCCAGAGAGTTTTGACTGCTTAAAAGAAGTTGTATTGTATAAATGAGATTTTATGCTGTTCGCTTCCGTCTTGTTTTCGCTGTTAAAAGACAGTATGAATTCAAGACTTAAGTCTTATTATTTTTTATACTCAGTGTACAAATTCAATATAACAGGGGAGCGAAATCAACAATGAGTGAACGTGTTTTAAAAAGCCCGCGGGCGACCATATACTAATGTTAAAGTGATTTAACAACTCCGTATTATATCAGTTACCCTGTGTTGCTGGATAGACTTGAGGAAGCATACCGGTTCAAATTGAGATAATATGACCAGTTTACCTCCATCTTGCAAGGTGTTCTGAAGGATCATAATCATGCCATAACCGTGAAACATCGGCAGAAGACAGAGAATGGTGTCATCAGCCTTGATGATATGCTGTGGTCTGAGGGAAATAGATATGGATGATCGATGTTACAAATATACAGGTACTATAGATATGTTAAAATAATCCTTATATAAAGTGCCTCAACGTATTGGCATTTGACGCTATACGGTATGAAATATTATTACTGAGGATTATCATTTGATTATATAAGTATAACAACATTAAGATTTATGAATAATTCGAATAATAATTCGAGTTTCTTATATACCGCCTTATTACAACCTAGTTCAATAGGTCGTCTCAAAGCGGTTCAAAAAATATTATCCGTGGTTATAGGGCCTTTGCAACCAGCCAATATCTTTCTCATCTCCTTGGGGAGCAAACAGCCGATGCTGACATTTCGGCACTCACAGCTAGCATTCAACAATTCCAGCACTGCCCAACCACGTGCTCATTTACAGCTGAGTAGACTGGAACAAGCGGAGTAAAGTCTCTTGTTCAAAGATACAACACAGTGCCGTGCCCTGACTCGAACCCGCAACCCTTCGGTCAAGAGCCCAGCGTCCTACCACTAGACTACCGTGCCTACGGTATATATTCAATACATTTTAAACTACAATTTACTACATTAAATATTCAGCGTGACAGTTAAGTGTTTACCAAAGCATAAATCCACAACCTGTATCAGCATAATACAGTTACAACGAGTGAAGGACATACAGCACGACCGGAATAGGCAGAGTTAATATAATCACTGACACACGACAGGTATCACAAAGTAGGCTTACTATTTAAAGAAGATGTGCAAACACTGATAACGTTAGTTTTTAAGGAAGACAGTTACAAAAAGGATAACAACATGATGTCACTTTAGTCCTTATACCTCGTTTGCTGAAGATTTGATACAATATTCCTGTGTGTAAGCATAACGCCTTTGGGTAATCCTGTCGTACCACTGGAGTAGGGTAAGAGTGCCACGTCATCTTTTGGATTAAATGTAATGTTGTCAGGAAAGCAAGTACCGTCATCGTTGAGAAGGTTTGAGAACGAACGATATCCATCCATCTCGCCTACTACTATGATGTGCTAGGAAATATAATAGAAAAAAGTATAGTTGAATTATTTATTTTTGTATGTCCATTATCAGCATAATTGAAATCAGTCCAAACAACCTATAAGTTTGGTGTATGTTTCTAGATTACAGCTGTAAAATGGTTTTTGCATCTAGGTTTTGTGAGTGGTCATGATGTCTTTCCTTTTGTTTCGGTGTCCTCGCTGCCCTCACTACCTGTATTTGTCTGTAAATTTTGACTTCGAGGTAACACTTTGCTTTTTGTTCTGACACTGTTGTATATATTTTGTCTTCTTTGTTGACACTTTGTAAGATACTTCATTTGTTTCATTTCAACAAATTTAATTCAAGATGGTATATAAATAGGATTGAATAACAGTTTTCCCCTGTCAACTGGTACCAGTACTTACTTTGAGAGTAGTTTTAAGTTTAATGTCACTTTCAATAGCTTCTTGAACAGTTGGTAACAATGATTTGAAGACGACCACACCGGAAGTGCCGGAATGGTTGAGGTGCCGTGCAAGTTCACCTAAAAGAAGAAATGGCATCTGGATAATATTTCCTCAAAAGATACTATTATTTATACATGTTTTATTCGCATTTATCTTACCTCTTTTAAATGACGTGCATATTTATATGCTATTTAGATTTCGTATGTTCTTGGTTTCGATTCGCAATTTATCTGACCTATTTAAATTTGCGTAAATTGCGTAAATTGTAAGCCCTGGAATTTTGAGGATGTGTTCATCAATATTTGACAATAATAAATGCAGCACTTCACATTTCATCGCTATAAACACTAGCATCCATGCCAGTGGTATGTTAAGTAAAGTCAAATATTTTACATACCGGAAGTGTAGGCCGGATTCGTGGTGGTAAGGATAATGCCTGAAGTCACACAAGCCAGTATGAGAAGGGCATACTCGGTATTGTTGGTGGAACACATACAGAGTACGTCCCCCTTTCTGTACCCCAACCTGTGTAGAGCACTGCCTAACTTGATCACCGCGTCCCTCATCTCCAGGTAAGTGTACGTTTTACCATTATTGGCATCTACCTATACAGTTGATACAAAATATTCCCAGATATGAGTTAAGTAATAGAACATATACATCAATGTTTACTCAAATATCCTTATATGTAAATGACTCGCTTTAGCAAACCTGAAAATGAACATATAATCACAAACAACAAGTACAGGTAATTATGAGAACTTCAAACGAATAAACAAAATACAAAAAAAGTCTAAATATTAGTTGTTTCATAACGAAGTTGTTAATCATATTGCATTTTATACCGCGTTTGGTTTTAAACAATTCAAAACAAGTAAATAACGAGGAAAAAATAATTCTTCTATCATTTTTAACTTACCAGGGCTGTCCTATTTCCAAAGTGTTCAAATTTGGGTAAAAGGTATTCCGACAAAGATTCTTCCTTGATTTGGATATCGGGTATCGGACTAGTGAAAATGATGTTTCGGGCAGAAGAGCTGGAGAATTTCCTGGTACACCATTGTAGTGTAATTGATCCTACAGCGGGACAGGCTCTCCTCCTCGGACTACCAGTGGACATATAGAGACGGGAATACGTGCCCAGGACACTCAATCTCCTCACCGATTTCCCCAGCGACATCATGTTTTACTAAAGAAACTCTGATCCCTTCACAGAAAATAATCTCATTCTAAAAAGAATCATATGATCAAAAGTAAACTTGCACAGCTATTATGATACGTCCTTTGCCGTATGCAGTGTGTGTAAGGTCTGAGGAATCTCTAACTAGGTCAAAAATTCATACACACCACCACGCTGACTACCCACTCCAGTAAAGCTATATCACCTGTCGTGTGTGTATATAAAACAGGGGCCAATGACTCAAGGTCTCGCGATTTGTTTACACACAAATGACCTTAACCTATATCTAAATACAAATAAAAAATGAATTAAGCTACCCGTTCTTTATATTGTATTCGTGACCGGAGGTAGTTGCAAAGTGACAACACTTATATTATGGCGTCTACTGAAGTATTAATTTGGGAACATGTCATTGAAGGAATTTTTCTCGTAGGTTCATCATATTTGCTAAACAAACCGGATGGAAGTAGTTTGATAATCGTGTCATTAATTTTTTAAACTATGACCACGAGTTTTCGCGATTAAAGTTTAAATGGATACTTCGGTGGTATATATATGTAAGTGCATGGTTAGTATTTCATTGCTAAGGTATAAATGTAGCACAGTAGAAATGGTCTGATAACGAAAATAAAACACGTGTCTCAGATAAATATGGATAGTGGATTCATCCTGCATTACACACCTACATATATAGATATATATTTATAAACTACAGTTTGAAAACATCCTTTTAGAAGAATGATTTTGTTTTCAAAAAGTGTTTTCCCCAGATTTCGGACTTGTGAAAACCATGATTACCACATAAAAAAAACATGATTTTTAACACAAAATTTGACCTCGCAAGTAGTAATTTTAAACCTGTCTTAAATTAATTACCACCTTCTCGGTAACAGCTGTACCATAAGTGTTTTTAGTTTTATTTATTTATTATTTTTAGTTTAACAAAAATGAAGAGTCCACAATAATTAGATACTGACATGCTGAGAGGATGAACATTAATTGGCGCTATAATATAATCATTGACTCAAGGTGCATACACAAATAAACATCCTTTATGACCGTTTAATGCAGAATATTTCATGCTGATCAATGTGTTGTACCCTACAGTGTGTAAGCAGTCGAATTTACGGGGGAAAAAAACACCATGTATTTAGTAACAGTGAAGTTTTACCCCGTCGTTAAATTCTCCCTGATTGACATATTTAAAGGCCAATATTGTAACGTAAGACAAATCAATAAATTGATAAATTCATTAACTTCCGGTATTAAAATGACTGCACAAGACATCGCTTCAGGAGTCTTACGATGATCTGTATGCATTGGGTTTCTCACAGTTGATCTTTATCTCTGGCATTAATGCTGAAATAAGTCTGGAACTAATTTCTCATTTCAGTTTCTGTCACAATAAGAGGGTATTCAATGTCTTTTAGTCTTCAAATAATTAAGTTACCAGTATCATTTCAGTGATTTCACACGAGAAATCTAAGGACCCCTGTCTACCTGAAGGAGCAACACTAGAGAATTGTACATAAACCATAAAACAGAAACCTCACCGTAATTTTGCTTTTTATATAACCATATTCGGGCAGGGCCATGGGGGAATTACCGCCGATCAGGTAAATTAGTTTGAAAGAGTGCCCAAATACAATCATCTTTCTGAATACTCAAGGGGTTACACTCACTTTCGCTCTCAGCACCCCTAGAATATGTCATGGGAATTTTGAAGGTACAACGGTAGCTGATTGTTTGGTCTTAAGTAAAAACACCTAACCAGTCGCAAGGCTGGTACCTGTCCTTTGAAGATCATAGTGGAGCGACACCCCACTTCAAAGTCAGTCAATATTTTTTACCGTTACGCGACTTAGAGATTCTTTTGATGTGCATCAAAGTATCGAACTAGTTTGCTTGTCCATCCATAAGGTGGCGCATACTGAGCCTTCAATTTTGCTATGATATATGTCAGGGGTGCAGAGAGCAATGGTGAGCGTAACTCCTTGATTATTGCGGATGAGATACGATTTTATTTTTGCATTGAAATGCTGGTCCTCAACGTGTGCTACAATGGGCAAATGAAATGCTTACCTTTCCAGAAATATATTTTTATATATTTTTAGGGCATCACAGTGTCATTATTTGTTATCTCCTCTGCTCCTGTTTTTTTAATCGACTTTGTTCTAGTGTAATTGCGCTGTAGTGAGTCATTTTGTTGACGCTGTGGAACATTTTGCCTGTATTCAGGATGTGTGATATTCTGCCCTTTTGTGTTTAAACCGTAGTATATTTTGTCATTGGGATTTGACACTGTAGTGTATTTCGTTATGTGTTGGTTGCTGTGGTATATTTTTTATAAGTAAAGTTATCAAGGATGATAGATTTTCAACAGCTGTTTCATCAAGGTAGACGCTGAAATCTCTCCTGGAAATTGTTTTATAAAAACAGCCTTAAAACTTTCTCAGTGTATATAAAAATTAAACGTAAATCGCATTTTATAAAAAAACATATTTATTTTCTTGTATCACAATGCTTACATATTTTGACATAAAGTATCAAATGCAGATATACTTATAGAAATTAAAAGTAAACATATATGTTGGGGTGGGGGGGATATATGACGTGCTTTTGCTTTATTAGTTTAGTTCTTTTGTTAATGTGAAAAGTTTAGCACATGTTCCGAAGCATACGTCTCAGAATTTTTCCAGATGATGATTTTGGAATCTCATCTATGAATTCTACACCTCCTCTAAGTTGCTTCTGCGAAGCAGCATTTCCTGTCAAATAAAATGTCCATTTTACATTTGAATATTTTACACATTGTTAATGATCTATCTATAGCAAACGTTTATACTTAACTTTGGATATACATATATATGCATATAATATGAATAAAATATATACTGTAAAAATTAAAAAAAGAAAATGTAAGATGAATTTGGTTGCCATTCGAATACTTTCACATAGTTACATTACAGGTAGTACATATCTCATTATAAGTTTAAACGCTTTGGTGTTCCTAGTACCTGTATCAATGAAGAATGTACTTACCTTCAACAAATTTGGATATCTCCTCGCTCGTGACCTTTTTGTTTGGATTAGGTACTATGTAAGCCCGGGGGATTTCCCCTGCTCTCTCGTCTGGTATCCCTATCACAGCTGCGTCATGTACCCCGGGGTGTCGCAGCAACAAATCCTCGAGCTCTGCTGGGGCAACCTGTGTGTCATGTCAGAGAGAAAAAAAACTCTTCGTGAACCAATAAATCCACGAATATTGACTTTCACTCGCCTTTCGTGTAACTGTGTAAATATGACTTGCTGTAATAAAGCTTTTTGTAAACAGGTAATTACAACGTATGTGAAAATATACCTATGTAAATGTTAATTTTTTACTGATGAATACGGTGGAAGACTACGCTTCAGGATCACCTGGTCTTATTCTCAATGCACTTTCTCATATGCCTCCATATGTTTTTTCCTTTGTTCATATTTTGCCCTAGTTTTATCGATTTTTAGTCAGAATTATGGTTTTGAAGACAATTCCGTATTCCTTTTTTTGTTCTAGAGTCAATTGTTACGTCCCAATTGTTGTTAAAAATATGGATTACATACATCTATATTTCGATGTCGCTCCTTTCCAAAAGCGTCGAAAATTTGCATGTTTGGATTTGCTATTTTGACATTAATTCTTAGAAGTAGAATAAAACAGACCTTTCATTCATAAATGAACAGTTCGTGACTCGATCAGCAACATGCTAAATGACTATTCAACCGTTGACAACCACTACAATACTTAGCAAACCAACAAACCTGAAATCCGTTGTACTTGATTAGCTCCTTCAGTCTGTCTTTTATCACGAAGCAGCCGTCATCTCGCATGTGCCCCACATCACCTGGTTTGAGGAAACACAACAACGCTTGCCATTCGGAAAATATATCACATCACATATTGTTTTCAACTGTGTAAGGTGTTTATGCACCATACTCTTCCAGGAAACGTCAAGACCGTGCCACATACGTGTTAACGGAAACTTTTAGATACTTTTTGTGAACAAATACTTACATCTTCACGTTATTGTTAAACGATCTCGTATTGACGTCCATAAGACCAAACTGTATGTCAAATAAATTCGGAAATTACGTGTTGGTTTTATTACACTCCAAACCTTCTCACGTATTCGAGAATATACATGTCAAATTTCACTTTAAGCTACAGCGTACCTGTGTAAAGCCAGCCGTCTTTGATCATGTCGTTTGTAGCCTTCTCATTGTTTAAATATCCTTTCATGACATGTGGTCCCCGAATACACAGTTCCCCTGTCTCCTCAGGTCCAAGTTCAGCCTCAGTCTCTGAGCACACAATCTGTCGACAGGTGAAGATTAAAACATATATTACAATACCTTCGCATATTTGTAAATCTGGATAGTTTTTACACACAAATGTATGCATATTAAGTATTTATTAATGATGCCAGCCGTTCTGGATAAGTAGTTTTTCGCCATGGCATATCACAGCTAAAGTTGACGTCGAAGATATGTTAATTTAGTTATTATTACATTGCTGCAAAATAGTTAGAGGGGAAATGGGAAGGAATGAAAAGAAGAAATACTACGTTATGTTTTCTATTTGGAAAACAAATTACAAATTGCCAGGATAATTATTCATAATCATATCATGGCAATTTAAACCAGTTACTTAATTAAATGGAATAACGACAAAGATCTGTATACTTTTCTGGAAAATTTCACATCAAAACCAATTTAATTTAAAAATTGATAATAAAAAATGAAAATAAAAAGGGATGTTTGAATCCATCCTTATCTGTATCATAAATCGGATGTCGTAGCAAAGAAAATTTAAATGAATTGATCGGAAGAAACATCAATTTAAAATCATAAAACGTTAGATAAAGTTCCCATTTTTGTTGCACCTTATGGCCTTTCTTTGTCAAATCAGAAGTAATAAATGGTATTCATGTGAAAAGGAAAAAATACATTTCTGAAAAATTTCGATATATAAGGAGGAAAAGTATTTATTTATCTTTCATCCTAACACATCTTTGAACAATTTTACTTGTAATATGTACACGACGATATTTTAATAAGAACATACTTTGCTTAGTTTGTATTTACCTTCTCCATTAACAAGACCCGAACACATTGTGTTGGTAAGACTGTGATATATCATTTGAACAGAAATTTCCGAAATCACAGTCAACAAACAAAGCTCTATGGGCACCCATCGTCCGTTACCTCGTTAAATAGAATCCATCATATCTCAAGGGCGAAATAGAGAAATCTAAAACTCTCGCAATAAGATTCTGAAATTGGCATCCCGATATTTGATGATGGTGTTTGACAATTTTTGGAAAGTTAGATAATTATGAGGTTTACTATCTGCATCCGTTGTTTAAGAGGGAAAAAATATTCTTCTCTTGCACTGTTTCAAGTTTTAGCTTTTGGACTATATGCACTTAGTAATGAAGTGTTAATATTGTTATTAGACCGGGTCGATCGCTTTCCGCGTTATGGATTAAAAAATATCGTTATGTATATTATTCGGGACTCAAAACATTGGAAAATATATAAAGCGGCCATTGGTTATTGTTTCATCCAATATTGTATCCCCTCGTGGCATATATGTTCTTTATACCTAATCTATAATGTGTATCCAAGTGTCGCATAAACGTACATTTACTTGTATTTAAGGTTAGTTACCTTAGCGCTGGAGTTAGGTATTAATGGTCCTACTGTTCCTATGTGGTGTGGAGGCAGCGTGTCTAACGTAGCTATTGGACTCAGCTCTGTCATTCCGTAGCCTACAAGTAGAGTAACGAAATTCTATATATTTCAGAGCCATAACATAATTCAAGTATGCCGTTAATAAGTAATCGAGGAAACATGTTTAAATTTATTTCACTAGCCAATAGAATAAGACAAAGGGCGTGACTTTGTCCTAATGTACACATTTTGTATATGGTAGAACTCCATTTGCCCGTTTTCCAAATATTCATAAACAAAAATACGATTCATGAGTAAACAATTAGCCATCACTCTGAAAAATCATACATTATTCATTGTTTATGCCTCAAATTGTGTCATTAAAAAATCGTATTCTGTCTCTCAGAGAGTTTTAAGACTGTATGGTTATTGTAATAGTAAGAAATGACGCCATTACATTGAACAACGGGATGTCTCAGTCTGTTCTCATATTCCCTACATAACGTCTCCCCTAAAGGTGCTGCTCCGCACAAGTGAGACCGGATGCTCGAAATGTCAAACGTGTCTACGACTGGATGTCTGGCTAGGAACAGGGCCATAGGAGGAACCATGTACAGGACGGTCACCTACCAAATCAACAATATACATTAATTTATATCTTATACGTGCTTTGGGTCCGGTGAGGTTGGTAGAGTTGCGCAACCGTCGATTCAGATCCAATTGCGGTTGATTGTAAGCATTTAAGATATGCATTAAAAATATAGTTATTCAATGATAACCGAAATTCTTTTTCACATTCCTTGATATCTTTTATTATTTGTCGCGCAATATTCCATAAAATTTATGATATATATGTCCACCAGATATTTCTACATCTACCGCCAATGCAAACACAAGGTAAGGCTCGTTTGAGCCATTTTGTTGCTGCTATTTCAATTGTCACAATTTAATTGTTTCCTTAATGTGAAAAATAATCAGTTTCATTATCATCTCCACTAGACAATATCGTCAATGAGTAAAGATCCATGCTTCTTTCAAATGCCCGACATCTTTCTGATTTATTTGTTTTATTTCAAAGGAAGTTGGATTATTTAAGTAACAGATATGGAAAATATACCTTGTGTTGTTCGATAGAATCAAGGAAGGATTCTGGTTCGAATTGAGGTAATATGACCACTTTACCTCCAGCTTGCAAGATGGTCAAAAGTATAAATTGCATGCCATACACGTTACACATCGGCATATGACAGAGAACGGTGTCATCAGCCTTGATAATATGCTGTGGCCTGTAGTAAATAGATATGGATAATATTCAAAATAGACATGGACTATAGATTTGTTAAAATGATCATGGTATAAACTGCCTCAACATATTGGCATTTGACGCTAACCTTTCGAATACGGAATTCAATAATAATGATTAACTCAGGATTATCATTTGATTCGAAAAGTACAACAACATTAAGATTTAATAAAAGTTGTAAATTTAGCACATGGAAAAAACACAATTTACTTCATGATATATTCCAAGTGAATGTTAAGTGGTTTTCTTCAAAACATAAATCTACAACCTGTCGAGTCAAGGACATATATCATAACCCGAAAAGGTAGCGTTAGTATAGTCACTGACACACGACAAGTATCACAAAGTAGGCTTTCAGCTATAAAAACTGCGAAAACATTTATAACATTAATTTTAAAGAAGACAGATACATACAGAATATCATTACTGACAATATGACGTCACTAACGTACTTATACCTCGTTTGCTGAAGATTTGATACAATATTCCTGTGTGTAAGCATAACGCCTTTAGGTAATCCTGTCGTCCCACTGGAGTAGAGTAATAGTGAAATGTCATCTTTTGGATTATCTGTTATGTTATCAGGGAAGCAAGTACCGTCATCGTTGAGGAGGTTTGAGAACGAACGATATCCATCCAACTCGCCTACTACTATGACATTCTATGAATTAAACCATAAAACATTAACATATAATAAATATAGTTCAAGTTTAAATGTTATATGACCATAATCGGCATTATGAAAATAAGTCCAAATAACCACGCATTTTATCTGTTCGGTGGATGTTTCTAGAGGACAGTTGTCACATGGTTTGGCATGAAATGTTTCTTGAGGGGTCATGATGTTTTTCTTTTGCTTTGGTGTCTCCTCAGTTCCCCTTGATTCCAAAATTTGCAGCTTTGAAGTTTTTACATTAATGTCTAATTTTGCTTTGCGTACTGCCACCATTGTTTACCTTTTATCTCTCTGTGTTAATACTGTGGTAAAACATTATCTTTTTATTAAAATATTTTGCTATTACAAATTGCTTTGTGTTCTTTTCTTATTTACTTATTTCTATATTTCTAATGAAAATTGCTAGAGTAAATTGTTCAAGTTCATTTATTTCCTTAAGCTTTACAGCTCACCAGTTGTGCATATATACAGTGCAACATAAAGTAAACAATTAAATAATACACACACACCACTTTCGCACCTACTCCTAGAAGTTTATATATATCATACAATTTGGAGTAGTTTTACGAAAACCAAATAGATTTTTACATAAACTTAAATGTAACTTTTTTTTATATCTGCTGCCTTATGACTTCCACATATATCAGACTCATAGTTTAAAATGCTAGCTACATGTGTATCGAATACCGACAATATTGTTTCAAAATTAAAATATTGCTTAACGACCTTGTTCTGCTATTTTTTGTACGTTTTACGAAACTTTCTGTTATAACTCAATAAAACGCCAAGGTAATTAAACTCATCTACATGTACAATGTCTAAATGGACCCCATTATATGTCCAGTATTCATTGTCACTCAATTTACCACCATTCCTAAAAACAATCACTTTAGTCTTATCCTATCTAATTCTGAAAATGACGCAGGATAATGAGAACGGTCATTATTAGTTAAATGATTAAAAATGTCCTCATTTATACTAGTTACCGAAGTTTCCAAATTTGAAAAATGATAAAAAAAAATCCCAGTTGATGTACTTTTCTTCAATTCTTACGTTTTCCAAAATGTTTATAGAATGTCTTAGGATTGTGCTTTCTTAAAACATTCATATGGTTTCCATTATGCCCCTTATATTCTATCTTGAACCTAGTTTCATAAATCTTATAAGCACCTTTTTTATTGACTAATATATTACGATTTTCTACTGTTTTTTAAGAATTAAAAGAGATTAATGCAGCTTTGTTATCTTTATAACGTCTTCTACAAATCTCATTAAACCAAAGTTTATCTTCACACCGTTTCAGTTGCACCTTTTGAGAAATATTTCGAGTAATAGGTTGCAAACAAAAAGGTTGAACAATATCATTTAACATCACTGAATTTTTCAATACATTCATCATTACATTTAGAAGTAAAATCAACAGGGTCACACAAAACGTACAGTTCATCAATGTGATTACATAATCATTGTACTTTTTTTTCCATTTATAATTTACAGATGTGTGTATGTATGCTGTTTGACTTAATTTTTCATAACGTAGTTTCAGACAAAAGAAACAGGCGAATGATCTGAAGAGATATTAAAGATTCCAGATTGAAAATTAGTTATGCTAGACAATGTCGATCGTTCTACTAACAAATTATCTATATGAATAGTTCCTCTGGTACTTTAAAATATAATACTGCCATTAAGATCATCACGATGTCTTCCATTTACTACTCTTGAAGATGAGGTTTTACACAACTGTCTCCAGCCCTGATTATAAAATCTCCTATCGCTACATGTATAATGCGATGGTTCAAGAGTTAAAAATAGATCAATATCTTCATCATGATAATGTGTGCTATTTGCTGGTGGAAAATAACAAATAAAAGTGTATAAATGTTTGCCGTCTGAAAAAAGGCATCCCGATATTTTCAGTCATGCAATACTATCGTATTGACGTTAGTTATACATTCACAATATGTCCTTAACTGATTTCTGATAAAAAAAAAACAATGATACATCCGCCCTTAACCTTAGTTCGTGGATATATTTTGAAAAAAAAAAACGTTTAACAAAATGCAATCATCACTCGTAATCCAACATTCATACAGACACACAATACCATATTTACATATCATATTTACAAAATCCGCATTACTCAATATATCTTTTTTTCTCTTCAAACGTTCCATGATATGAAAGATACATTCTCTGTCCTTATAGTAAGGTTCATCCGGTTGTATTGATGGGGCATTCTCGTCATCCATAATGAAGTTAATGTCAGCAGAATAACTGTTATATACCGTCTGGTCTGTTCTAAGCCTGACATCATTGAGCTCTTTTTCTGTACCGCTGACCTAGCATCCTAGTGATTTCATAGAAAATTCAATTTGGTCATTTTTTTTCAAATCATGTCAATTTTGTCAATCTTTTTAATTTGGGTTTCTATTGCTGACAATCTGGTGACCATAGCACATTCCAAACATTATGATATTTCAAACTTACCTTGACCTTAGTTTTAAGGAAAATGTCACTAGCAAAAGCTTCTTGAACAGTCGGCAACAGCGATTGTATAACGACAACACAGGTAGTGCCTGAATGGTTGAGTTGCCGTGCAAGTTCAACTGAAAGAAGATTCAATTGTATACTTCCTCATATGATGCTATCTTTTAAACGCAGGGTTGAACACTAATTTCGTTTTGCTTGGTAGTCCACAGGACTAGTTCAATATATTATTTACTAGTCATTTGTCAATGTAACTAGTCCCAGAATTCCATATAAGGAAACATCGCAATCTACAGCATGACACATCAAAAGTAGTCGACTGTAAGAGACTTAAAATAACTACTGCCATCAATATATAGTGCAATATATCTTATTTTGAAAAATACTTTATTTTAAGCAGTTTTCTAAATTTCAAAAAGGAATATTCGTATTTTATAATCACATTTTTCACAAGTCGAAAAAACCAGTTAGGTTAGTTGATTCACTAGTCCCTGCTGAAATCTTCTAGCCCAGGACTAGTGGAATAGTGTTAGTGTCGACCCCTGTAAACCTGATGCTAAAACTCATACTTGATACTCCAGGCGTGACATTCACCTCCTATCCCTGCTCCCGTGGTATATGTCATGACAAAATCGAAAGCACGAAGATAGCTATTTGGTTTCAGGCAAATAAAACTGATCAATCGTTAGTCTTTCTCATGTCCATGTGAATAGTTTAGTGTCATGCTTCCCCGGGATTCGTTTGATATGAACATCAGAAGTTCATGTTAGCCTACTTGTGTCATTCACAAGGTGGCGCGCACCGAGTATTTCTCTCTCTTTTTTCATGACATATTTCAGGGATAAACAGAGTGTACGTAAGCGTTACCCCTGATATTTGAGTATGTGTTCAACATTATTGTTGTTATAATCAAAGGGAATGCAATATACTACTATGCGAAATATAACACTGCAAATATTTTCATACCGGACGTGAAGGCAGGATTCGTGGTGGTAAGTATAATGCCCGACGTCATACAAGCCAGTATGAGAAGGGCATACTCGGTATTGTTGGTGGAACACATACAGAGTACGTCCCCCTTTCTGTACCCCAACCTGTGTAGGGCACTGCCTAACTTGATCACCGCGTCCCTCATCTCCAGATAAGTGTACGTTTTACCAGCATTGGCATCTACCTATACAATTGATACAAAATATTCCCAGATATGAGTAAAATAATAGAACATATACATCAATGTTTACTCAAATATATTATAATGTAAATCACTTGCTTTATCCAACCCGAAAGTTAATAAGTTAATAACAAACAATAAATACAGGCAATTATGAGAACCTCAAACAAATAAACAAAATACAAAAAACGTCTCAATATTAGATATTTCATAACGAAGTTATTAATTATATTGGATTTTTTACCACGTTTGGTTTTGAACAATTAAACAAGAAATTAACGGGAAAATGTTTGTTTTTATCATATTAACTTACCAGGGCTGTCTTATTTCCGAAGTGTTCAAATTTTGGTAAAAGGTATTCCGACAAAGATTCTTCCTTGATTTGGATATCGGGTATCGGACTGGTGAAAATGGTGTTTCGGGCGGAAGAGCTGCATAATTTCCTGGTACACCATTGTCGTGTAATTGATCCTACAGCGGGACAGGCTCTCCTCCTCGGACTACCAGTGGACATATAGAGACGGGAATACGTGCCCAGGACACTCAATCTCCTCACCGATTTTCCCAACGACGCCATGCTTTACTAAAAACACACTTATCCCTTTACTGGATATATTGTCACTCTATAAATACAGATATGATAAGAAGAATTCTTTGAACTAGCACAGCTATTAAAACGTCCAATGCCGTATCGTCCAATCCCGTATGCAAAGCAGCAATCTGCTGGATAACCGAACTACTCGGTAGTAAAGCGGACGTAAAAACTATTAATCAATCTATGCAAAGCAGTAGTTGAATATGAATAAGATTAGAATCCCTAACTAGATCATCCACTTAATTCATACAACCACAGACGGGAATACGTGTCCAGAACACTCAATCTCCTCACCATTTTCCCCAGCGACGTCATGTCAAACTGATCCCTTCACGGAAACATCTTCACACCATAAGAAATAAATGATAAGAAGTATCGTTTAAACTAGCACAACTATTAATACGTCCTATTCAGTATGCACCCGTAAAATCTCTAACTATGTCACTTCATACACATCATCACGCTGACCGTCCTTACTAGTAAAGCAATCATTTGTCGTGTATATATATAAACAAGGGGTCATTAATCGCGCATTGTTGACGTTCAAATGACCTTAGTATATACCTTTATACACATCAAAAACAGAACCAAAAAAAGATACTTTTTATTTATATTATATTAGTGAAAGTAATGGAAAAGTGAAAGTACTTATATTGTGTAGTCTATTAACGTTTTAACTCTAGCAACATGCCATTGAAAGTTTTTTCCCGTAGGTTGATCATATTTGCTTAATAAAACGGATGGAGGTAGTTTGATAATCGTGTCACTCACAATATATACTTTGACCATAAGTTTTCACTATAAAAGTAAAAATGGACACTTCGGTGGTAACTTTATGTAAGCGCGTGGTAACTATTTCATTGTTAAAATGTATAAGAGTGTTCTTGCGATCAAAAAAACATGTGATTTATTGTAAATTTTAATATTTTAGACGATTAAAAAGGTGTCATCAAACAGTTTACCAAAACTCATGGTAACCCTTGTTCTTGAAGCATGAATGATAACTTAGCTGCACCATTCTGTTATTTATTTATTTATT